AGCAGTGTGGTTCTATTTGCTGTAAAATCCTTTACATAATAGATCTGTGTTGTGTGATCTTGGTTTTCAGAAACATGGGTGGTATACCATTATATATGATATGTGGAATCAATATTAACTGCACTACTCTAGAATTTGTTTGGTTCTAGTGGGTGAATGAAGACACTGGCTGGCACAAAGAGTTGAGCTTTTTGCTACTAATCAAAAGATTGGTGGTTCAAGTTCATCCCCAAATTCCTAACTGTCTACTTCCAAATATCAGTCACTGAAAACCTTATTTGCGAGTCTGAATCAACCCGATGGCAACTGGCTTGGCTTGGTTATTTGGCATGATAATTAGTGAAAATAAGCAGAGACAGAGAATGCCAACATTAAATAACTTTTTCAAAACACAAAAGAGTTTAGCATGCTTTTTGAGGATCCTAAATAGATACACGGGAAGAAAAGAGGAAAAAAAGAAGCAACATTTTTGGTTTATCAAAGTAGTCCAAATCCTGTAAATATTGTAATTTTATATCTGCTAGACATGACTTTCCAAAGTACAGGTTATAAAGATGCATCCATGCCTTTGGATCCAAGTTAAAGGTAACATCTCTGTATATAGATTTAACCATACCTCGTTAAAGCCCCTTTAAGTTGTTTGGCAAGAGAGAACATGTTTAAGGGTTCTCTTTTCTGTCATTTAGGTGGATTGTGTATGTATCAAAAAAGTTGTGGGGATGAAACTAAATGTCATTAATGAGAGAAAATGCAACAAAATACATATTTTCCAGAATTTTCACTCCATTGTCTTATGTATATTTTAATAATACAAAATATTTCCCCAAAAAACATAAACTCTCTATAAACTGAATTTGTAATACCTAAATGATAATCCATTCATTGTCTTTTTCTTAGACAGCATTTTCCTATGATTGACCATTACATGAAGGTCCACGCGTATTATATTATCACTCACATTCAATTTAATCTCTAAGTTATATCATCGCATTACATTATTTATATTCAAGGAAATAGCAAATTCAGATTGGATTTTATATGAGGTCTGTGAGAAATGCAAAAAAATCATTTTCCTTCATAAAATGAAATAGTCATTTTAATACTAGGGGGAAACCTTGAGGGGAAACTATTTTACAGAAATGTAAAAAGAATGGCTAACAAGTTAATGATAAGATGGGATTTTAGAAATTGTTCAACTTTAAAAAAAAGTCTACTTAAAATAGTCAGCATTTTATGCAGTTCTAAGAAGTGCTCAGAGAAAAGTCTCTATCCTTATCAAGCCATATTTACTTTTGGTTAAGATACTTATTAGTCATTGCATTTCAATTAAAAATTGAATAAACATTTGAAATAAAATAATAAATTTAAACTTTATGTGTATTTATATACACAGTCTTATAGAACTCCAGTAATACAGAGAGAATTTAAGTAGTGCATGCTGAAACACGGAGCCCATATCCAAGAATGTGGATGAACATGTACAATGCAAGTTTTAAAAATGTGATCCACCAAGTAAGAGAGAGTTATGTATATTGAAAATAGCCATTTTATGAGGATAGAAAAATGTAAGCAGCTCTTTAACGAAAAATCAAAAGACACGTTAAATATAGTGTCTCTAATTCAAAGATTCACTGCTAGTGAGTGGAATCCTCCTCACAATGACCTTAGTACAGGGTAGAAGCTGCCCCTGTGCATTTCTGAGGCTGTAACTCTCTATAGGAGTAGAAAGCCCTCTCTCCTCTCCCTCATGACTACCATAATGCTTAATCTGTACTTAATGTCCTCAGTGCACAAAGAGTTAAGTAAAAACAAAAACCAAACCCACTGTTGGGATTCCAACTCCTAATGACCTTCCATAGGGTTTCCTTGTGGGAACAGAGAGCATTCTTTCTCCAACAACGTGGCTGAAAGGTTTGAACCATCGGCCTTGAGATTAGCAGTCCATTGCCTATTTGGCAGCATCGTCAGAACAAGGAGTAAATAAAAATCACCCTAATTTTTAGATTTTTCCCAATTTGGGTAAAGAAATGCATCCATTATGGTTATTTTGTTTTATTTAGAATTGTATTCAAAACATCCAAATAGATTTTCCCATGACTGATTTAAAGGGAATGACCCAAAGGTGAAGCTAATTGCTATGGAGCACGCAATTCTCTGTCAACGACTTTCAGCTACTCATGATTCAGGCAGGGGGCCAGTTTCTTCAGCACTCTCTTTTCATCATAGGCTCCACAGTACTGGATATATTGTAAATGCTGCTATCAGATGCTAAAATAGAAATGTCCTGTGTTGGCTGGGACATTAAGCTATATAAAAAAAACAAGCAATAACATTTCCATGTGGATTTAAGATCTTAGTTATATTTTCATTGACATAATGTATGTATGCAGTTGAGCTGTTTTTCGCCCTCATTCTGTTGGGTTTTGTTCAATGAAATTGAAAGAAAGAAAGAAACCATGGACAAGCTTCTACTGTCTGCCAAGAAAATACGATGAGAGGCTCCTAGAGAATGATTCCTATTTCTATTCTCATACCTTCTGCCTACACCACCGCTGAACGACCGGTGCTGTTAACTCTATCCCCTTTGATAGGCCCGTACTTATTCTTTCAGATAATTGTTCTGTTAGTCAAGGTTCTGGGCTAAGGACAGACATTTTCTGAAGAAATGAAAACACTTCAGCATAATTAATGTGAAGAGATTTGTGTTTTGATGACATAATGTTTAGCCAATTCTTTCTGGATAATGTCTCTGTGGCATTTTGTGTGTGTTGCAGTTAGCACAGAGCCATTTTTAAATCAGTTTAGACAGCTGCATCTATTCTATAAAATAGCTCCATGACTATGAAGGCTCTTAATTAGGTCTTAAAGTTAACATTTATATTACATAAAATAAATATTTATTTTAATCCTTTTAGCTATATATTAGCATTACTTATAAATTATACTAGCATTATTTGTAATGTGTATAGTATCTATTTACTATATGCATTAGAACATAAAGGATTGCCTAAAGCATAAGAATTCAGGAGGAGTTTGACCAAAAATATGTTCCAAATATTCTGGCATTTAAGTAACTTATGAGGTCAGTTTTCTCTGTTTGATAACAGCATAAGCATGCTAAGTGATTTCTGATTCTCTATTTGAAAACAGTTTGAAGTTGCTGTGTATTAAGCACTAGTATGATTAAGTCTGATACCACACCTCACGTTCTTATACAGAATCCCACCAAAGGCTTTCCTGGCAGCCCTGGGGACTCCAAAGCTGACTTTCTTGTACAATGTAGCACTAGGTTGCATTGTTACACAAACTGAACAGTTCAGATTATAACGCTTTTCAGGGTGTGCTTTTGCATTCAGTTAAATAGACGGTGCACTGAATACAGTGTTTGACTGAGAGGACTACTACAATCTAATCCAGACTCCATTTGCCAACTCATATGTCCTATTGCAGGGTGGCCTCCAAATGGAGAAAGAATCACTGGTTTGAATTAACTGTCTACAGGACATGATAGTTTGCTCATCCATCCACAGTGAACAGCACCTTTTAATAATCCCATTGATTCCTAATTTGGGGGTCCTCTCCGTTGATGACCCCAAAGGAGGCTTGAGGGCCCAGTGGCTAAGTGCACAGATGCTGACAGCACGTTTCTCATTTAGAAGGCACCATCATACCTGAGGGAGAGGAACAATCTGATAATCTGTTCACGTTAAAACCTATATTGCAACCTAGACTATTATGAGCTGGAGAACTCCATTGGGCCACTCTCCTGCCCCCTAGGGCTGCAGTGAGGCAGAATCAGCTTGGTGGCACACCGCGACAGGGCACACTCCGAACGTTCTGAGGGGTTCCGGTGGAAAGCACGGCCTCAACGGAAGGAGTGCGTGGCCTACCTAGCATTCTGTTATCTTTAGTGAATTGTACAGAATAAATTACATTTGACTAGGCAATGATTTTGTCAACTGGCACCGTCTCTGTTGGAAGATACAATTGAAGGTTCAACTGGCTTCAGTGTGCATTCAGGACAGAAATGATTGTTAGTTGATCCACACATTTATGTAGTAATTTTGTGGTCAGCATCTTATAAGTAGTGAGAGTGAAATCAAGGAAAAATCTTAAACCTAGGATGTTTGCTTTATAGTTGGCCAGCCTATTGTCTCTTCCTATCCTCTAGTCAAATAAGAGTAAAAGAAAAATTTTAAGACACTCCAAAATTATTAAAAGCAGTTATTTCTCTGTACTACTTTCACTGAAAGCAAAACACATCACACAAATAATTTACCTCCTAAGGGAAAACACTGTATCCAGACTTTATCATACCCCGTGAAAGGTTAGAGCAGACATATCTAAGACAATGTTACCATCATTAGGAAATGAGGATTTCTAGAACATTGTGTGTTATCAGATGCGGAATTGTAAAGCTCTGAATTTTCTGCAAAATAAAGCTTGATTTCCGTAGCCCATGACAGAGCAATAATGTTTAACTCTATGATAAAATGTGCACTCATGTTTAAGGAAACCCCACAAGTGAAAGCACATTGCTGATATGTTATCTAAATACAGCTTATAACCACATCATTGCTAAAAGATGGCTATGGTCCTTTACAATGACTTTTTCCATTAATACTTTATGAGCCTCTGTTGTCTTACTCGTGTCATAATACAAATATCCCATTTCTTTTCTCCACTCATTTTTGTAAACCCAAGACACATTTTGTCCCATAAAATTATAAATATCTTCCTGATTAAGTTTACTTAAATTAGTTTTAAATACCTGTGCAGATTTTAACAAAACTTATGTACACCTAATAAATCCATTACATATAGACATCTGATGACAGTTCCTTATCTATTTATTGGCTCTTTTCAGGAGAAGAGAGACAACAGTATGCATTACATGAAGACATAGGCTAGCATTACCTGAAGGCATATTTATTACATGGACATAAATCCATTAGATGAAGATGCGATAGCATTTCATGATCTGTGTTGGCTCTTTTCAGGAGAAAGAAAGACAACAGTATCATGCACAAAAATTATGAACAAAAACAACAGCATCGTGGACAACAAGAAATGCAAACACTTAACCAAACCGGAACCACAGATTCGAAGATGTAATGAGCAACCATGTCAGACAAGGTAAGTCCATTTAATCGATTGTTAAAACACTGTTTGAAATTAGGGACCTAATTGTTAAAACACATCCAAATTATTAATGAAATTGAACTTTCTTGAAACAATGGAAAGAGATATACATGTATATCTAAGAGATCAAAGTAATAGGCTTAAAGGATAGAATGTTAGAGCAAGATGAACTATGTTTCCCACAGTTTCAATCACTTACCTAGAGAAAGAGCAGGAAAGGGGACTTAAATTATTTCGTAAACTGTGGTTCACCTCTCCAAAATTCAGACTCTTTAATTAAATTGACCTGTTTTCCTTCTGAAATTTCTAAAGAAATTGGAACTTGCCACAAATGACATAAATCAACACAGGACTGGCCAGGGCTAAGGAACCACATAGAACATGGAATCAGCGTGGTCCTTCTGGTTCCTGATCCTGGTTGTTCATGCCCTCCTCAGAGCTTCCAATGCACACTCAACAGTTTATTTCTGATCCCCGGCTTCCTTTCCTGTGTCTTATCTACTGAATGGATACTTCGGTACCTGCTTTCTCCCCACCAAGAGGTCGAAGCAGGCACGAGCTCATGAGTCATGGACGCAACAGAAATGCTGAGAAGCTAAGTGCAGGAAGAAAGCCCAAAGAATTTACTACTATGTGTATGAAATAGTGTCTCACAATTAGCTATGTTAGACCAAGTGATAGAAGTGGGGCCTCAGTCACGGACAGGTGAAGCAGAGACGAAAGACGAGAGTGGGCAGCAGCAAGGCTTCCCCCACACGGTTCTTGAAACTCTGCCCCTTGAATACAGAATTGATGCGAGGCGGAGGCAAGATTGAGACCGCGTGCCAAAAGTCTTTGAAAACGTTGAGGAACAAGATGACAAGCACATGGTGAGAGTAAATTGACACTAGGATATGCAGAAAAGACTATCTGTCTTGAAAGTCAGGAATGTATTGAGGTTCAGTGAGTTCCAATATAGTGGAGAACTCTCAACTTAATCTGCAGTGGAGCCACAAGTGTGCACATCCTAAGTGTTGGCTTCTCAGGAGTGACCAATCCCTAGCAAAGGACTTTGTGTTTAGTAAAGCAGATGCTTAGTGAAAAAGACAAAGCCCCTCACAACACGGATGGCCACGGTAGCTGCAACAGTGAACTCAAACATAACAGCAATAGTTCAGATCGCACAGGGCCTGGCAATGTTTTGTTTTGTTGTGTATAGGGTAGCCAGCAGTGGGAACCAACTAGTAGGGACTCATCAACAACAGAAACCAACCTCGGGTAGTGCTGCTTCGGGGTAAGCACTGAGTTTCCAACTGCAAGATCAGTGTTGCAAAACCAGCAAGCATCCCCAGGAGGAAGATGTAGAGGACTATCTGCTCTCATAGATATCTATAGGTTTAGAAGCTCTGCTAAGTCAGAAATGACATGGCAGCAGTGGAATTGGTTTTTGGTTTTGGAAGCTTGAGGTGTGGCAACAATCTGTAGCTGTGTAGTGAAGCAGTTATCAACCTGTGGGTCGTGACCCCTTTGGGGGTCCAACCACCCTTTCATAGGGGTCGCCCGATTCATAACAGTAGCAAAATGACAGCTATGAAGTAGCAACAAAAATAATTTTATGGTTGGGGGTCAGCACAACATGAGGAACTGTGCTAAAGGGCCACGGCATTAAGAAGGTTGAGAACTACTGGTGTAGTGGGTATAACTCTTCTATCAGTTTGTCCTACTATCATTGTTTATATGCTGCTGTGATGCTGGAAGCTATGGCACTGGTCTTTCAGGTATTGGAAGTATCACCCATGGTGAACAGGCTTCAAAAGAACTTTCAGACCCAGAACAGATTGCCAACACGGCTTAGGCTATCCATTTCTGAGGTATTAGCCACTGACATGCAAATGTATTGTGGTGCTGGAAAAGAATATTGAAAGTACCATTGTGGCAGTCACCTAATCTGGTGGCAATTTAAGGATTAAGACTATAGGGGTGGAGTCTAGGCTGTCAATTTGGAAATAGCCAATGAGACTTCTGTGGACATGGCCTTCTGAGAAGTCTGTGAAATCTGGAACTTCCTCCTTAGAGGCAGAAGACACCTATCTCTCTCAGTTCACTCACTTGGAAACTTTTTACTGACAAGGCTGACTTCCTGTGAGGCATCTCTGAGGAGATGCCACATGGACCTACCCTGATGCAGCCCTGGGAACTGGAATGGCCATGTGGAGACCCCTGCCAGCGCTGAGATGCTTCTACCACCACTGACTTTGCAGCCACTGACCTGTGATCACTGTGCACTTGGCATCATTGCATGTGTTTCGTGAGTCTGAAGAGGACTTTATGGATTGCTGTCAGACATATAGGCTACTATCAGACTTATGACTTTGGAATGGACTGGGTTGGGATGTTTTCTCAATGTTCAGTTGCTCTTGTATATAAATCTCTTTCTTATACACATATGTGTGTCCATGAATTTGTTTCTCTAGTCTACCCAGACTAACACAATCTTGGACTGCTAAAGGACAAACTGATCTGTTTTGGAGGAAGCCTGGCAAGAGTGCTCCTTAGAGGCAAGGATAGTGAGAGTTCATCTTACATATTTTGGACATGTTGTCAGGAGAGATCATTCACTGGAGAAGGCCATCTTGCTAGGTAAAGTAGAGGGGCAGTAAAGGAAGGGAAGGCTCTCAAGGAGATGGATTGACACCTTGTTTGCAACAATGGACTCAAGAATAGGAACAATTGTGTGGATGGTGCAGGATCAGAAAATGTTCGTAGGGTTGTTATGGGTTGGAACCGACTATGGCCCCTTATATCAACAGCTGCCACTGGAAACATTGTCAAACAAAGTGCTGGAAGTTGAGCCCCTAAGGTTGGAAAGCATGCAACATACAGCGTGGAAGAGCTGCCGCCTCAAAGTAGAGTGGACCTTAATGTTGATAGAGTAAAGTTTCAGGGCACAACTCAAAGTGAGAAGAAACATCTGCAAACTCCCTTTAGTAATTAGAATATAGCATGTACAAAGTATGAAGCTACGAAAATAGGAAATCATCAAAAATGAAATGGAAAGCATAAAGATAAATATCCTAGGCATTAGTGAGCTGAAATGTCATAGTATTGGCCTTTTGAATGAGGTAAGTGTAGAGTTGATATGCCTAATTGACAAATTCAAAAGAAAGTGTATTACATTCATTTTTCAAAAGAAAAATTCAAGACAAGTCTTGGAATACCATGCTGTTTGTCATAGGAGAGTATATATGCCTATAAAGGAAAATAGTTATTCCAATTGAATCACTATTATTCCAATTGAATTACTATTATTCCAATTGAATCACCAGCCTAGCAAGCTAGTGATGAAGAAATTGACGATTTCTACAAATTGATTAAAATGTAGTCACGGTGCATTGATAGTTGGTGATTGGAATCCAAACGTTGGAAACAAAGATAAAGGAACAGTAGTTGGAACATGTGGCCTTGGGGAAAGAAATTGTGCTATAGACCTCGTGATGGAACTTTGCACAACCAGCTACTTCTTCACTGCAGATATCCTTTTGTCTACAACATAAACGACACAATGCACATGGATTTCACCAGGCAGAACATGCAGAAATCAAACTGAACCTAGTTATGGAGAGAGGCAAGGGAGAAACTCCATATCTGAAACAAGGTCAGGGTCAGCCTGTGGCCCAGCACATCAACTACTCATACTAAAGTTCAGGTTGAAGCGGAAGAAATTGAAAACAAGTTCGTGAAAACAAAAATACAATCTTGCATACATCCCAACTAAATTTTGAGGACATCTCAAGAAGAGATTTAATGCACTAAATACTACTGACAGACCTGATGCGCTGTGGGGTTTTAAAAACATCATACATGAAGAAATCAAAAGAGTTTTAAAAAGACAGGAAAGAAAGAAAAAAACAATGTCCAGTATCAGAAAAGACTCTGAAACATGCATTTGGACAAATGGAAGATGAAGTAAAAACATCTGAGCAGAAAATTTCAAAGGGCAGCCTGAGAAGTCGAATTATTTAATGAAATGTGAAAATGTGGGGTCAGAAAGTCAAAAAGAAACATAGTTTTAGCATATCTGAAGCTTACAGAGCTAAGTAATTTAAGCCTGGAATTAAAGGATTCTCTGGGCAATATATTGCGCAATTCCAAAAGCAACTAAAGAATAAAAGGAATATGCAGATTCACCGTACCAAGAACTGGATGACATTCAAATCCTTCAAGAGATGGTATATGATCAAGAGTGGACAGTACTGAAGAAGCCTGAGCTGTACTGAAGGCATAAGTCGAAACAAAGCTCCAAATATTGACAGAATGCCAAATGAAACGTTCTAACCAGTTGATGAAGCATTGGAAGTACTCTCGTATCTACACCAGTAAATTTGGAAGAGAACTACCTGGCCAAATGACTGACAAAGGTCTCTATTTGGGCCCATTCCAAAGAATGATGACCTAAACAAATCTGAAAATTATTGAATAGCATTCATTATTGTCACATGCAAGTAAAATTTTCCTGAAGATAATTCAACAACAGCTATAGCAGTGTTTTTTTAATTATTTTATTGGGGGCCCGTACAATTCTTATCACAACCCATACATACATCCATTGTGTCAAACACATACGTACATTTGTTGCCCTCATCATTCTCTAAACATTTGCCTTTAACACAGGGAATCCAGGGTGGATGAGCCCTACAGGACCAGTGGTGTGAGTGGCGATACTGGGAGGGTAGAGGGAAAGTGGGTTGGAAAGAGGGAGCCGATTACAAGGATCTATATGTGACCTCCTCCCTGGGGGACGGACAACAGAAAAGTGGGTGAAGGTAGACGTCGGACAGGACAAGATATGACAAAATAATAATTTATAAATTATCAAGGGCTCACGAGGGGGGGGGAGGGGGGAAAAATGAGGACCTGATGCAAGGGGCTTAAGTGGAGAGCAAATGTTTTGAGAATGACGAGGGCAATGAATGTACAAATGTGCTTTACACAATTGATGTATGTATGGATTGTGA